ATTCCCCTTCCCCCCCCCCCATCCATCGAAAAGGCGTTTTCTTTGGCGGCTGAAGGACATGCCGCTGCCCGACGGCCGCACAGTTCCGGAGCCGGTGGAGGTGGCGTCGCTCCCGTTCAGCTGGCTGGTCGGTGTTTCCCACAGCGCCGCAACCGCCGCTGCGGCCGCCGCCGCCGCCGCCTCGAAGGAGTGGTCGGCCGCCGCCGCGCCTCTCGTAAGCGCCGTGGGGTACTACGACGCCCAGGGAGCTGACGGGGCTCCTGCTGAGGTCCAGGTCGTGGCGCCGGCGGCGGGGGGCACGATAGCCGTCATCACGGCGAGGGTCCACCGTGCCGACTCGAGGAGTAGGTACGTGTTCCGCAACACGCGCTCAGTGGCGCTGCCCATGGGCCAGGTGGCAGGGGTACCGGACCCGCCGCAGGAGGCCGGGAGTGGGGCTGGGAAGAGGCCCAAGGTTGTTGGGCTAGCCGGCACCGAAGCGGTCTGTCACCCGAACCTCCCGCTCCTGGCGAGGTTGGAGGGTGGCGGCTGCGCGGTGGAGGTGCATAGCTGGGTTAACGGCGGGAGCCACCTCCAGTGCATACCTTGCAAGCCGCGGGGGGGGGACGGGGGCAGGCCGCAGCCGGGGCACACCGCTGGGGCGGAGCCGGGGAACGCCGACAAGAAGGTCGTTATCGTTAGCCGCAGCGACTCGGGTTGTTGTGATAGCTCGGACGGCAGCGGCGACGCCAAGGGCAGGTTCGCGCTCGTCTTGGGCGAGCTGGCCCACAAGGTCAGGTCCGGCGACGAGCTGTCCTTCGTGCCGTACGCCCTTCCTACCGTGACCCTTGCGTGCCGCTCGATGGACGGGAGCACCGGCGGCGGCGATTCCAGTCCTGACGCCTGCGGCGGCAGCGGCAGGGCCGCAATCGAGCACGCGATGTGGATGTCGGACTGGGTAGGCGCGGAAGCCTTGCCCCCGGCCCTAGCCGTGATCGACGGGGAGAAACGCCTCCACGTCTTCGAGCTCGACGACGGGGTCTCCTCCTCCGGCGAAATCCTCGACGCCAACGGCGGCGGCGGCGGCGGTGGCGGCGGGAGCGCCGGGGACGGCTTGAGCAGCCTCGCCGGCATGCCTGGGAAGCGGACGCCTACGAAGTCGTCGACGGGCTCACTGGCGTCGCTGTCGAACGCCTCGAGGGACCTCCACATGAAGGACCTGGTCGGGCAGGACGGCAAGGAGCGGCCGCCGTCACCGCAGGAGCGGACGAGTAGGCGGGCTCGGGTAGACTTCGGCGGGCCCGCGGTAAGGGACGACAGGCCTCCCGTCGAGAAGACGGTCGTGCTTCCGCTGGACTCCAAGTACGGGCTTGGGCTGACCTTGGCGTTCGAAGGGAGTCAGGTGAGGCGCTATTTTCGGGGCTTGTGGTTGTATTGATTAGAATTGTAGTCATGCCCCCCCCCCCCCCCCCCCCCCCCCCCCCCCCCCCCCCCCCCCCCCCCCCCCCCCCCCCCCCCCCCNGTCGTAGGGCAAGAATTACAGCGTCTCGGGGTCGACACCTCCGCCTATAAAGGTTAGATCGCAGCGGCCATCGCACAGTAGCAACAGATACAAATCTGTTTGTTTCCCAATGGAAAGACTGTTGATGAAGAGTGTCTTGTCGAAATATCGGCCCTCATGAGTGACGGCGCACTCCAGCGCAAGCAAACGGCACATGAGCGACAACCACGCAGACATCCACCCCATACCCACGCATCACAGGCTTTTGAGGTCCCCAACCTACATCACAATCGTCCAGGAGTCTCCCCTCGGCCATCAGTCCCAGAGTCACGCACTTAGCGATGAGTGCGTAGCCGTTTCTCCCCTTCGCTAATTTTGTTCAAGCTTCAAATCGGCTGCGGTCCCGCGTAACAATTTATATTTGTTGCTACTGTGCGACGGTCGCTGCGATGTAATCTTGATAGGTGGTGTCGACCCCCAAGACAGTCGTAGCTCCTAGCCTTTCCGTTTGGAGATAAACTCGTTTTGCGTTAAAATTTATCGTTGCTACGACGGCCGCTGTTACGATCTAAAACTTTGGTGAAGATGCCGCCTTTCCGTGTGGCGACAAGTTCACTTTTGTGTTAAACTTTGTCGTTACTATGACGGCCGCTGCTGCGATCCAATTCTTAGGTGAAGGTGTCGACCTTCGTCAGGCACCCGGACACTAGCGAGATGCTCCCGGCCGAGGCTAGCGGGAGGATGCGCCCGGGAGACGAGCTTGTGGACATCAATGGGCATAGCGTTGAGGGTCTTAACGCGGAGGAAGCAACGGCGCTTATTCGCCAGGTGTGTGCATCTTTTGCTGTTAGCATCGATCGCGCTAACCGGCTGACCAATGAAAAGACGTCATCAGTGCCAGTGGGTAATGTCGAGGTCCGTGGAAGGGGGCCGGGATTCGAAAAATGCGAAGTGCCCTACATGCGATGGGTCTAGGGATGGGGTGAAGGCGACCGCTGTTAGCCTGCTGAGATAACAAGGAAACAACACAATTTTGCCCCTTTCGCCAAACCCACCCCGCGTGCGGTAGCGCGTCACCATGGGCGCATCCAGAGTCTCACTTCGCTATCCGCGAACCCCCTTCCCCCCCCCTCAGGCAAGGCGGGAAAGCATGGAAGGCGGAGCGGTATCCCTCGAGCTCACCTTCAGGGAAGCCGCACCGGCGGCGAATGCAGCAAGGGTTCGGCGCCATAGCTCCAAGAGCGGCAGCCCCAAGCCGCGGACGGGGTGGTACTCGAAGAAGTCCAGGGCGCGCGGGTCGGGTCGGGGGTCGGCCAGGGGCTCGACGGCCGCCGGCTGGGCAAGCACGGACGCCGACCAGCACGCCCTGCGCTGGCACCCGATCGGCAGCGACGAGGTGCCGGCGTTCGAGACGTGCGTCTTGCTGCCGTGGCTGGGGAGTGGCGTGGCGGCGCTTGGGGGTGTCGGGCCGGGGGCGCCGNGCAAGGGTTCGGCGCCATAGCTCCAAGAGCGGCAGCCCCAAGCCGCGGACGGGGTGGTACTCGAAGAAGGCCAGGGCGCGCGGGTCGGGTCGGGGGTCGGCCAGGGGCTCGACGGCCGCCGGCTGGGCAAGCACGGACGCCGACCAGCACGCCCTGCGCTGGCACCCGATCGGCAGCGACGAGGTGCCGGCGTTCGAGACGTGCGTCTTGCTGCCGTGGCTGGGGAGTGGCGTGGCGGCGCTTGGGGGTGTCGGGCCGGGGGCGCCGAGCGGGGCTTTGCCGGGCGGCGGCAACCGGTGGACCGAGATCGGAGTGTACCCGCCAGGGGACGAGAGGCGAGTGCGGGAGGCGCTACTCCTGGGGTTCCAGCCGGCGGAGAGCGGGGGCTACGTGGTTGCGTTGCTGGTGAAGGCGGCCCCCGGGGTGGGGGGGGTGTCGGTGGTGGAGCTGTGTCGAGCTCCGTTGGGGGCGGGGCAGCAGCCGGTGTCGCTCAACCTCGAGAAGACGCCTCCGGGCGTACAGGGGCGGGCGTCGGCCGAAGCGTTGTGCGAGGACGGGCGGGTTCGACGCTGGTGTATCGCTCGAAGCCGATATTGCGGGGGTGATGAGCAAGAAAAAAGTTTCGCCCTTAGCACGGTGGATCTGTGCGACCCGTTCGGAGCGTCGTCGACGGGTGGGGTGGAGGACCCCGATGACGGCGTCGGCGTTTCGAAGACGTCGTCTCCCGCTCGCTTGGTCGCGGTGGCTTCCCCTAACCTCCTGGCCGTCGCGAGATCGGTCGAACGACCATGGAAGCCGCAGCGTGCTCTTACGCCAGCGCGATCGTTCCCGGAGAGCAGCGTCAGGTCGGAGGAGCTAGCGGCTGAAACTACGGAGCCCCCGGCGAGCGTAGAGGTGTGGTCGTGCTCCGATACGCCGTACCCCCTTCGTCGGTTCAAGAAGGACGGGACGGTGGTTCTGCCCGGGATCCAGGCGGTGGAGGGCATGTGTTGGGTTTCGCCGGAGGCCGGCGACGACAGGGGAGCCGCGGTCAGCGGGCACTGCCTGTGCGTCTCCGTTGCAGGTTCCGTGACTGTCCTGGCCAGGGAGCGGCCGTCCCACGCTATCTTGCCCGGTCTTGGGGGTGCCGGGGGCGAGGAGGGCTTGGTCTGGTCCCCGGTGTTTCGAGTGGCGAGCCCGTCTTCGCTGCTTGCCTGCAGGACCGCCGGCCTCCGCGACTTCTGCCAGGTTAGGAACGGGGGTGTTCTTTCTGGTCTTGCATGTGTGTGACAGTCGCGGGTGGTGTGACAACGGCTCGACACACTCTTATATCGGAGCCCCCTGTTGTACCGGGTTCAGAGAGGACTCAACTATACTATTAGAGGGTCGAAGTCGTGACAACCGATTTGGACCCTCTTATCGGAGCCCCCTTGTACATGAGGTACCCTTTGACATCGGAGCCACGACCGTTCATGGGGATTTTGCCTGCGGCATCTACTTGCCTGCGTTTTTTTATCGCGAGAAAAGGTTTAGCAGTCCATTCCCTCTTTACTGAGTATTGCGAGGGGAAAGTTCGCGATTCGACTGATCTTGTGGTGCTTACGACGTCTTGCGTGCAAGTTCGCTGGATGCAATGGCACGATGCCGGTTCAAGCCGCCCGCCATGGCCTACATATTTCACAACACAAGAAGAGTACGCATGGTTTGCCCGGTTTGTTGTGCCTGCTGCACTCGCTAGCGAAACCACGCGTCATGAACCTTGTAGGCCAAGCCTTTGTTGCCGCTCTTTTCTTGTCTTCTGTGCTATACTCGTCCCGACTCCCTCATCCCCCCCCCCCCCCCCCCCCCCCCCCCCCCCCCCCCCCCCCCCCCCCCCCCCCCCCCCCCCCCCCCCCCCCCCCCCCCCCCCCCCCCCCCCNAGGCCAAGCCTTTGTTGCCGCTCTTTTCTTGTCTTCTGTGCTATACTCGTCCCGACTCCCTCATCCCCCCCCCCCGTCCCCCCATCCGCAGGGACTCATGGCGAAGTACCAACGCAACCTCGCCCTGACCCTTGTCCGCACCCGCGGCGTCAAACCGCTGCCGGCGGCGGCGGCGGCGGCGGCGGCGGCGGCCACAGACACGGTTGCCCAAGGGGGGCCGTACCCGGCGATGGCTCGCACTAGTTCGTCTGGTCCTTCCCGGCCGCCGTCCCCCCTCCCACTATTGCGGGACGAGATGGCGGGCCTGAGGGGGGGCGCTACGCGGGAGGGTAGACACCTGGAGGACTGGCACCCGGAGAGCTTGGCCACCCTGTGGTGCACCAGTCTGGTGGCAGGTGGTGGGTGTGCGAAGGAGGGGCGCCGGTGGGAGAAGGGGCGCGAGCGGACCCTGTCTGTCCTGCGGTGGGTCTCGAAGGACGCCCAGGGGTCGGAGAGCGGCGTAGTGGCCGGGGCGGTGGTGCCGCTGCTGGCGCACGGTGGCGGAGGAGGAGGAGGAGGAGGAGGAGGAGGCGATGATGCGTCGAAAGGCGACGACCACCTGGCGAGGCTGAAGGCTTGCCTCGTCTCCTACCTGAGCTGCCGCTTGGAGGAAGAGAACGCTGTTACCGACGGACGGGGGTCCCCGGTGGCCGGGAGCAACGGCGGTGGCTTCACGTCTGCCGCCGCTGCTGCCGTTCGCCGTCTTCGGCACTCGGTCAAGAGCCCCGCCGCCGCCGGCGGGCCCATACCGGCGAGCGCCCGCGACGTCGCCGCCGCCGCCGCCGCGGCCGGGGTCCCCCGCCGCCTGCTGAGCCTCTCGGGCGCTGAGCTGTCTGCCCTGTTCGCGTTGCTCGACGTCGCTCTCGGCCAGGCCGACGCCAGCGGGCCTTCTCCTGCGGTGGCCCCATCCGCCGCAAGGCCAGCCGCGGGGGACAACACCGCGGCCGCTCTTTTCTCGAAGGTGTCTTCGCCCTCGCCGTCATCCTCGACCGATATCCCGGGCGTCAGGAGCGGCAGCACGATGCCGCCGACGGCGGTGATCGCGACGACTAACCACATGGACGACTACGCCAACGTCTTCCTTCTGGCGCGGGGGCTGCGCCTGCGGCTCGGCGAGAGCGCCGGGGGCGGTAGCGAGGACGCCGCCGCCGCCGGCCTCGAAGCCGGGATAGCTTCGTCGGCGGCGCTGGCCATGCTGCTGGCGCCCAGCGGCACGCAGAAGGAAGTGCTGGAAGTTCTGTGCCCGAAGGCAGGCGGAGGGGTTGTGGCGGCGGTGGCGACGGGCCCGGGGCTGGCCTGGAGCGATGCTTCGGCGATGCTGTTGCCTCTTTGGGTGCGAGACGCGACGGAGCTGCAGAGGGTAGCGGAGTCCGTGGCGTCCGCTACGTTCCTACAGGACAGGGACCTCATGGCGGCGAGTGAGGCGTTGCCTTCTTTGCAAGGCCCGTTTTTGTTCTTTAGAACAAATACATATGATGACAGAAAGACTTTTTTACCCATTCAAGAATGACCGCAGTCGATTGGGATATGTTGAAATCTTCTACAGTTAGTGGCAGGAACACCGGCTGGATGCTGGGTACGTTTTGAGCCTGTTTTAGCCTGTTTTTTGGAATAGACCACGGTGACGCCAGGTTGTTGTTCGGTGATGCCTCGGCCGACGTCGATTCGTTTCCTTGCCGCCCGCCGGTTGTTCTCAGCAAGGAAAAAGTGTGGAGAACGAGCCTCGCGGGTAGGTCGGTAGGGGAAGGCTCCCCGTCTCGCCGCGTTGTTCGTGCCTTGCCCGCTCTTCTATGCTCAGACTTGCCGCCGTGTGTATCCCTTCTCCCTGCACCCCTTGGTGTTGTTGTTGTTGTTGGTCTTGGTCTTGGTCTTGGTCTTGTCTTGCTCAGGCTGCCATGTTTTTCGCGGCTCTCGGCAAGGAGAAGAAGCTTTTGGCCTTGGCCAAGGCGGACAGAGGTTTCGTCGGTCAGCGGAACCTCAGCGGGGGAGAGGGCGACATCAACTCCACCAGCGGACGATGTGAGAATTAGAAGAAGTTGGTAAGCGGTCGGTGGCCGAGAAATGAACATCGTGGTTGCGTCAGGTGACACTTGAAACACACGAACGCATGTGCCGATGTAATCAGCACGACAGGCTTCGCTGTTGATCGTGGTTTGGGCGCAGGGGCAAGCTGTGCAGGGGCGATGGCGCTGCAGTTCAATATGCGGAGGGTGGTGCCTCTTTTGAGTTCATTCCGCAGCAGTGGACCAAAGCGGGCCACGAGCTGAATTGATGGGCGATGGGTTCGAAGCAGCTCCCGCTTTTTGGCCAAAGTGACCTCCCCCCCACCCTGACTGATGTCCCTGCACGGCCCCCCTCCCCCCTTGCCCGCCGTTTCCCAGCTCAAGGCGCCACCCAGGGCCAGCGCCTAGAGAAGCTTCTCGCTCACGACTTCAGCTCCCCGCGGGGACGGTCAGCCGCGGAGAAGAACGCCTACGTACTCCTGCGGAAGAGGAAGTTCAAGTCGGCCGTGGCGGTGTTTCTTTTGCCAAGGCCCGCCATGGTCAAGGAGGCGTTGCAGGTACAGGGGATAAGAAACCGGGTTGTGCGGGCCCGGGAAGCCGAGCGAAAGCGGGAGAGATGTGCAAACCACAAGTTTTTTTTTGGAGTGTCCGTGGTACAAGAGTTGGTGCGACGCTCGCTGAAGTTTCCAGGCAAAGAGGTTCGGGATTTCGTCTCGACGCACCGTACACCTCCGTACCGCCGTTTGCGGCCCCCGTCGTTTCTCTTACCAAGATACAACTAGCAGATACCCCTCGTTTGATTTTTCATTGCTGTCACTCGTCCCGATCGATCGAAGGTAATCTTGATGCACGTCAAAGACCTCCAGCTGGCGTTGCTGATCGCTCGGCTAGTGGAGATTCGCGACGGAGGTGGTGGAGCGGTAGCGTCCCCAAGAGCGAGCGGTTCTCTCGGCGGATTCAGCGGTGTGAGTGGATACGGCGGTGCCCCCGGCGGCGGGGGGGGCTTCGGCGGGGGCTTCGGTCGCGGGGGGGGCTTTGGTCGGGGTTTGAACGGCGGCGGTGGTATTGGTGCTGGTGAGGGTGATGACGCCGGAGGCAATGCCGCCGCTGCGTACAAGTCTATCGGGGGCGCCTCTAGGAAGCTGCTCCGGGACGAGTTGTTGCCGGTGTTTGATGGCGAGACCGAGTGAGTGAGAACGCTGTAGAGAGGAAGAGAATGGGAAAGAGGAGGAGGGAGAGGGAGAGACGCACAGCGACAGAAACAGAGCAGAGAGACAGAGTCAGAGAGAGACAGAGTGCGGAGACAATAGTTCGATGAAAACTGGCAGAAGAATAGAGGAGGAGGATGTGCCATGTGAAGGAGGGGCAACCGGGCGAGTGTCAGTCAGATAAACGGGTGACGTAACGCTTAAGGTAAGCTCTCAAGCAACCGTTAATGAAGAGCCGTTGCCAATCACCACGAGCAGCAACAGCGCGCTCATCCCCGCCCCGATGGTGCGCATATTGCTTCAACGGGCTTTGATGAATCCCCCCCCCCCAACGCTCCTTTCCCATTTATTCCAACTTTTCCAGGCATGGGCCAACGCAGGGACAGCAGCGATCATCATTCCGTCTCCAGCGCAACCCATTCCTGGAGTGCGCCACCCTGTTCTGGCTGGGGCAGCCGGACCGAGCGCTTCGGGCGCTGTGCCGCGGCCTCGTCGCCTCTGGCCACCAAGACGGCTCCTACGCGGCCCCCGCGGGGGGGTTTTCCTCAACAGTGGCTGCGGACAATTTGTCGGGTCTCGGCCTGTGCAACCGCGCCATCGATATCGCGATGAGGCCCTTCCTCGTGTCCAAGCTCCGCCAGATCGAGAGCAGAGGTAAACCCGCTGGCGACAGGTCGACGGTAGCGGCGGCGGTGGCCGGCGGCGGTGGCGACTGGGCTGCGGGAGACCCCCTGATCAACGCGCGGCGGGCCGCGGCCGTGCGCCTGGCCACGGCGGAGCACCTGGCCCGGAACGGGATGGAAATCTCGGCGCTGGAGGTGCTTGGGAGTGACGCCGGGGGGGGTTGGGCGGCGGAGCTCGCCGAGCGGCAGCTCGCTCGGCGGACCGGTCCCGAGAACGGGGCCGCGGGGGGCGACGGCGATGTTGTGTCCGGCGGGGGAAGAGGTGCGGGGTTCAAAGCCCCGGGGACGCTGATGAAGCCCCTGGCAGGCGCCTCCGCAGCGGCGGCGGATTCCGGTGAGCTATCGGGGGACATGTTCGGAGGATTCGATGCTGCACCGCCCCGACAGAAGGCTGCTGCTTCGAACGCCGCCGCTGCTACGGTAGCGTCTGGCGAGCTCTCTAGTGACATGTTCGGTGGGTTTGATGCCGCGCCGCCCCGACGGAAGGCCGCTGCTTCGACCGCCGCTGCTACGGTAGCGTCTGGCGAGCTGTCGGGCGATATGTTTGGTGGTTTTGATGCTGCACTTCCCCGACGGAAGGCTTCTCCCTCAACCGCGACTACTGCTACGGTAGCGTCTGGCGAGCTGTCTGGTGACATGTTCGGTGGCTTTGATGCTGCACCACCCCGACCGAAGGCTGCTACTCCTTCCACCGCCGCCGCTGCTACCGTAGCGTCTGGCGAGCTGTCTGGTGATATGTTCGGTGGATTTGATGCTGCACCACCCCGACGGAAGGCTTCTCCCTCAACCGCTGCTGCTGCTACGGTAGCGTCTGGCGAGCTGTCTGGTGATATGTTCGGTGGATTTGATGCTGCACCACCCCGACGGAAGGCTTCTCCCTCAACCGCTGCTGCTGCTACGGTAGCGTCTGGCGAGCTGTCTGGTGATATGTCCGGTGGGTTCGATGCAGCGCCTCCCCGACCGAAAGTTTCTCCCCCAAGCGCCGCTTCTACGGTAGCGTCTGGCGAGCTGTCTGGTGATATGTTCGGTGGGTTCGATGCAGCGCCTCTCCGACCGAAAGTTTCTCCCCCAAGCGCCGCTTCTACGGTAGCGTCTGGCGAGCTGTCTGGTGATATGTTCGGTGGGTTCGATGCAGCGCCTCTCCGACCGAAAGTTTCTCCCCCAAGCGCCGCTTCTACGGTAGCGTCTGGCGAGCTGTCTGGTGATATGTTCGGTGGGTTCGATGCAGCGCCTCTCCGACCGAAAGTTTCTCCCCCAAGCGCCGCTTCTACGGTAGCGTCTGGCGAGCTGTCTGGTGATATGTTCGGTGGGTTCGATGCAGCGCCTCTCCGACCGAAAGTTTCTCCCCCAAGCGCCGCTTCTACAGTAGCGTCTGGCGAGCTGTCTGGTGAAATGTTCGGTGGATTTGATGCTGCACCACCCCGACGGAAGGCTTCTCCCTCAGCCGCTGCTGCTGCTACGGTAGCGTCTGGCGAGCTGTCCGGTGACATGTTCGGCGACTTCGACGGTCCAAAGAGGGGTGCCGCAGCAACCACTCCCCCCAAACCTCGGCTGTCGAGCCCGACCGCCGTCACCACGGGTGAGCTTTCGAGCGACCTGTTCGCCGCCTTCGACGCCTCCCCCCCTACAACGGCGTCGCCCCCGGCAGCAGGAGGAGGAGAAGGAGGAGTTGCCGGGGGACTTGCGCGGACGTCTCCGCGGTCCAGCAGCTACGGGTACTTCGAGGGGGAGGAGCCAAGCTGGGAAGAGTACGACAGGCACGTAGGACGGCAGCCTGGCGATGTGGAAAGCGAACCGAGTGCGAAAGGAGGAGGGGAGCAAGACACGTGAGTTTGCGAGGGATTTTTTTCGCGGTTAGCGAAGAGTGATGTGCGTTCGGGGGGAAGGTGCAGGCGTGCGGGACCGTGTTAGCCGGCAGCAAGTACTCGTAGGTTGACCTCTTGTCTGCTGCTTACTGCCATAGGGATGTGTCTTTGTATTTGTTTATGCTGCGTTTCTTGCACACGCAAGAGGTAGATTCATCTGCACCTTTCCACAAAACGCATGTATGGTGAAGTGTCTGGGGAAACTCACCCAGCCACCCGCCTAGAACAAAAATTGTTTCTGTCGCCCATAGCTCCCTCTTTGCCTGTCCATATTTGTTAATTGTTTGCCCCGCCCCCCCAACCTCCTTTCCACCACCAGCAGCCCCCTCGAAGCTACTCCCAGCTCCTGGGGTGCACACCCTCAGCAGTGGGACGTCTGGGCAGAAGACCTCGCATACGAGGCGGCGACCAAGCGACTCCTCCGAGAGCTCCGACACCTCTTGGGAGGCCTCGACGCGCTTGCCCCAACCGCGCCAAACATGGCCGTCGCCCTAGAGTCTCTGGGGGCAGAGGGCACCGGGGCCGGCTCGAACGGCGGCGCCGCCGGCGCCGACGCCGGCAAGCCGCCGCCGGCGTTGCTAGAGAGCGTCCGCGCGGTGGCGGAGAGCCTGTGCGAGGCGCACGGTCTCTCGGCGGGCGCGCTTGCGGCGGCGGCGGCGGGCGCGCTCAGCCACGCGTCGGCGGGGGGATCGAGGCGGCTCGGCGCGCTGTGCCTGCTGCTCGGCGCGCTGGGGCGGCCGGTGGCAGTGGACGCCGCCGTGTGCGCCGCGGCCGGCAGGCTGCTGCAGTGCTGCAACGCGCACGGTCAGGCGCATTTGGAGGACCTCGGGCTCAGAGCGGCGCACGGGCGTGCCCTGGGGGCCGAGGCTAAGCTACTCGCGAGGGAAGAGGCGAGAGAGGCCCAAGACGCCGCCGCCTCCGGTTTAGACGCAACGAATCTCCCCGAGAGCGCTAGGCCCGCTGCTGGTTCATTCGTCACAGCGGCGCCCGCGGCGGAGGCGGAAGCGGCCGGCGGGCTTGGTCTGGAGAACCTGAGGCCGCACCTGTCGGAGCTGAGGGCGGCTGCGTTCCAGCTCGAGCTGTGCCTTGCGCTTCACGAGCGCGGGTGCTTGAGGCTGAGCTCGCGCGCCAGAGCTGAGGCGGCCATGGGCTTCCGGGCTGGGTTGTTGGTTGAGACGTTGGGCCGGAGGTGAGAGTGGCTCGTTGGTGTGTGCGTCGTCTGTCAACACGGCTGTGTATATAGTTGCGAGTTTTTTTGTGTCGCTATGATCGTGCTGGTTTGCGCACGGGGTGGCTAGTAGCGTTCGGCCTGATTGGCAAGGGCCGACGAAAGAGGGCCGGCGGGTGTGGTTGGTTGGTTGGTTGGCTGGCGTTTTTTTTACGGCGAGGACCACTACTTTACCATGGAATGTACCATGGGAAGTTTACCATGGGAAGTTTTCCCGCGCGAGCAAGCGTAGGGTGTTGGCACAACCCCGTCGCGAGACCTGTTTCCGTGACCTTCCTTCTGTGTTCGGTACAACTTCCCCGGTACGGCATGTATCCAGCAATGCACCCCTTGCTCTTACTCAAACCCGCCAATGACGACGATGATATCGTGTTGTGACGTGAAGAGCTTACGGCGGTTTTAGAAAAGATCATACTTGAATCAGAGAAGGACTACTACCCCGCTCGAGATAATACCCCCATGGAAGGGGATGTAATCAAGTCTTTTTCGGTGAGTGGTTTTGTCTTGATTCATTTCATAAATGTTTGAGCTTCTCGTTTCTACTTGTGCGACTCTCGGCTGAAGATCGACACATTTTTTTTTTTTCGCAGGTATGACGTGACGGTGGCGTTGGTGGGTTGCCCGCCTGCTTCCCCGGAGGCAGACGAGCCCAGCCTTTTCGACTCTCACGAGTCCGAGGCCTTATCCCCTGGCGGTGCCGGCGGCGGTAACGGTAGCGGCTACGGAAGCGATCGGGGTGAAGGAAGAAGGGCTTGGGTGGGCACACCGAACGCGGAACTGCTGGACGCGCTGTCGCGGTGAGGGCTTCGTTGGTGGGGTGTGGCTTGAGGCCTCCGTTCCGAGGCTCGCTCCTGGTGTACGCCGTATCCACACGAGAGCCATGCTTCCCGCGTTGGTTTTGATTCATACCGTGGCGCGCTCGTGCCGTTGACTGCCGCAGAGTTTTTTTTGGCAATTTTTACGGTAAGTTTAGCGTATCTACACAAGAACCCCCCGCCCCACGTCCACCCCGTGCATTGTGGCGTGTCTGGCGGCTTTGCCTTGCCTTGAGGCCCCTCTTGGCTGATTGACCCCTCCCCCCCCCCTGCTCAGCCCCCCCCGGTGTTTGCCATCGGGGTTGGGTTTTCGTCGCTTGGCA